GGGGTAGGGGTCTGGCAGCCTGGCGGCGGGGGGGGCGGGCGTCCTGCCGTGGAGGGTGTGCCTCACTCTTCCATCACCTACAGATCCTGCAGACAGGGCAGGAGATCATGGAGCTGGACACCAGTGGCTTTGCCACACAGGGCCCCACGGTCTTTGCTGGCAACATTGGGGACAATCGCTACATCGTGCAGGTGTCGCCGCTTGGCATCCGCTTGTTGGAAGGAGGTGGGCTTGGGTGAGGGGCAGGCGGCCAGGCAAGGGTGGTGGGTGCTGACCACCCGGTACTGACTGTCCTGTGCCCACAGTGAACCAGCTACACTTCATCCCCGTGGACCTGGGCTCCCCCATCGTGCAGTGTGCCGTGGCTGACCCCTACGTGGTTATTATGAGCGCTGAGGGTCATGTCACCATGTTCCTGCTCAAGAGCGACTCGTATGGGGGCCGTCACCACCGCCTGGCACTGCACAAGCCCCCGCTGCACCATGTAAGCACCCGGCCATGCCCGCAGCCTGCTGACCCCGCCCCCCCCACCCCGTGCTGAGCCCGTCCGTGTCCCTGTAGCAGTCCAAGGTGATCACACTGTGCGTGTACCGAGACGTCAGCGGCATGTTCACTACTGAGAGCCGCCTGGGCGGGGCCCGCGATGAGCTGGGGGGCCGCAGTGGCTCCGAGGCAGAGGGCCAGGGCCCGGAAACCAGGTATGTGGGGGCAGTCACGGCACAGGCTGGGGCCAGGGGGCCTGTGGCAGGCCCCGTGTGACTTGTGTGCCGGCCCCGGCCTCTAGCCCCACCGTGGATGATGAAGAGGAGATGCTCTACGGGGACTCGGGCTCCCTCTTCAGCCCCAGCAAGGAGGAGGCCCGCAGGAATAGCCAGCCCCCTGCGGACCGGGACCCCACCCCGTTCCGGGCCGAGCCCACCCACTGGTGCCTGCTGGTGCGGGAAAACGGAACCATGGAGGTGCGTGGGGCCCTGTGCCCGGTGCAGCTCCCTGTCCCCGGCTTCCTGTGGCTTCCTGTGGCCGCTAACTCCACTCCCCACACAGATATACCAGCTCCCCGACTGGCGGCTGGTGTTCTTGGTGAAGAACTTTCCCGTCGGGCAGAGGGTCCTGGTGGACAGCTCCTTTGGCCAGCCCACCACGCAGGGCGAGGCCCGAAAGGAGGAGGCCACGCGCCAGGGGGAGCTGCCCCTTGTCAAGGAGGTGCTGCTGGTGGCCCTGGGGAGCCGCCAGAGCAGACCCTACCTGCTGGTGAGTGTGGGCCCTTTGTTCCCCGCGGCAGCCAGGCCGGGTGCCCCCACTTCCCTGGTGACCCTGCACTGCCCCCCAGGTGCACGTGGACCAGGAGCTGCTCATCTATGAGGCCTTCCCGCACGACTCCCAGCTCGGCCAGGGAAACCTCAAAGTCCGTTTCAAGAAGGTGCAGTGACGGGGCTGAGCTAGGCATGGGGTGGATGTGGAACGGGGTTGGGGGCACGACCCGGCCCTCATGGCGCACCACCCCCTCCAGGTCCCTCACAACATCAACTTCCGTGAGAAGAAGCCAAAGCCGTCCAAGAAGAAAGTGGAAGGCGGAGGTGCCGAGGAGGGGGCTGGGGCCCGGGGCCGCGTGGCCCGGTTCCGGTACTTCGAGGACATCTATGGCTACTCAGGGGTAGGCAGGCGGCTCTTGGGGGGGCCCGGGGTGGGGCAGATGGGGCCTCACCTCACAGTGCCTGCCCTCAGGTGTTCATCTGTGGCCCCTCGCCTCACTGGCTCTTGGTGACTGGCCGGGGGGCCCTGCGGCTGCACCCCATGGGCATCGACGGTCCCATTGACTCCTTTGCCCCGTTCCACAACGTCAACTGTCCCCGTGGTTTCCTGTATTTCAACAGACAGGTAGGGAGACCCCAAGGCTTATGTGCCCCGTGTTGCCCTGCCTGGGTCAGGAGGAGGTGCTGGGGACCCTGCGGGGTGTCCAGCAGGTGGACAAGGCCGAGGTCAAAGAGGTGAGACACTGGGAAGGCTTGGAGGACAAGGCAGGCGGGCGTGGCGGCTGCAGCCCCTGAGGGCGCCTGTTCGCGGGGGCCAGTTCCAGTCACTGCTCTGCCCTTGAGGAGCCGTGTGACTCTGGGCCAGGTGCTCATTCTCTCTGAGCCCCGTTTCCTCATCTGTGATGTCAGTATGAGGACCCGTGATGAGAATGTGGCAAGAGCTCTGTAGGTGCTGATGCTCTTAGGACTGCGGGTGAAGGACAACGGCCAGGGCCCGGTAGGGGTCCCCTCATCTGTCTGCAGACTCTGGCCTGGCCAGTGTGTGGGTAACCTTTGGCCTGCAGCCTCCAGCTTTCTCTGGGCCCAGACCATGTCTGTGGCCAGCATCTCAGCTCTGGCGGAACCTGAGAGAAGGGACGGGAAGGCCGTGAAGCACGGGACAGCACGTCTCAGTCCCTTGCGCACCTCGGTTCCGGTAGAGCTGAGGGCTGGCCTCGCGGAGCCCTCAGAAGCCCGGATCTGCCTGCCCTGCCCTTGGCGGATACCAGGTCTCACCGGCCCCTGTCCCCCACGCACCAGGGTGAGCTGAGGATCAGTGTCCTGCCTGCCTACTTGTCCTACGATGCCCCGTGGCCTGTCAGGAAGATCCCCCTGCGCTGCACTGCCCACTACGTGGCTTACCACGTGGAGTCCAAGGTCTGACCCCGTCCTCTTAGGGCCAGGGACCCTCTGGGCGTGGCCTCTCGCACGCCCGTGACGCGCTCCACTCTCGCAGGTGTATGCAGTCGCCACCAGCACCAACATGCCGTGCACCCGCATCCCGCGCATGACCGGCGAGGAGAAGGAGTTCGAGACCATCGAGAGAGGTGCGTGATGCCCAGAGTGGGGCTTGCTGGCGAGGCTGCCCACCCTGACCGTCAGCCCGTGTCCTTGCAGACGACCGATACATCCACCCCCAGCAGGAGGCCTTCTCCATCCAGCTCATCTCCCCGGTCAGCTGGGAGGCCATCCCCAACGCCAGGTGAGGCTGGGGTCTGGCTGGGGCCCGGCGGGCAGCCGGGAGGCGGCATCCTCACTCTGCCTTGTGCAGGATCGAGCTGGAGGAGTGGGAGCATGTGACCTGCATGAAGACCGTGTCGCTGCGCAGCGAGGAGACGGTGTCAGGCCTCAAGGGCTACGTGGCTGCTGGGACCTGCCTCATGCAGGGGGAGGAGGTCACGTGCCGAGGGCGGGTAAGGGGACGGCTGGTGGGGGTGGGCAGTGCCTGGCAGCCCCAGCCCCTTCCCTGCACATCACCCACCCTCCTTTCCCGGCAGATCCTCATCATGGATGTGATCGAGGTGGTGCCTGAGCCTGGCCAGCCCCTGACCAAGAACAAGTTCAAAGTCCTGTATGAGAAGGAGCAGAAGGGGCCTGTGACCGCTCTGTGCCACTGCAATGGCCACCTGGTGTCCGCCATTGGTCAGAAGGTGAGCCCTCCCGCTCACCCCGGGGCCTGCTGCTGCCTGCCCGTTGTCACCCACTGCTTCTGTCCCCCTAGATCTTCCTGTGGAGCCTGCGGGCGAGCGAGCTGACGGGCATGGCCTTCATCGACACCCAGCTCTACATCCACCAGATGATTAGCGTCAAGAACTTCATTCTGGCGGCCGACGTCATGAAGAGCATCTCGCTGCTGCGCTACCAGGAGGAGAGCAAGACGCTGAGCCTCGTGTCCCGGGTACCTGTGCGGCCTAGGCCCTGTGCTGGGTGGGTGCTGGCCTCGGGCTGACCTTGACGTCCATCCCCCGTCCCCAGGATGCCAAGCCCCTGGAAGTGTACAGTGTGGACTTCATGGTGGACAACGCCCAGCTGGGCTTCCTAGGTGAGCGCAGGGCCTGGGAGGTCTTGGGGCTCAGAGACTTCGGGGGTGGCCGGGCTAACCCTGGGCTCTGCTCCCCAGTGTCTGACCGTGACCGCAACCTCATGGTGTACATGTACCTGCCAGAAGGTGAGTATTCCCTCTTCCCCTCTGTGGGGGCTGGCACTGGGCAGGCAATGACCTGAGCTCCCTCTGGCCTAGCCAAAGAGAGCTTCGGGGGCATGCGCCTGCTCCGGCGGGCAGACTTCCACGTGGGTGCCCACGTGAACACGTTCTGGAGGACGCCGTGCCGCGGCGCTGCGGAGGGACCGAGCAAAAAGTCGGTGGTGTGGGAAAACAAGCACATCACCTGGTTTGGTGAGTCCCGGGCGGGATGGGCAGGCGTGTGGGGCGGGGCGGTCAGCGTCACTCACCCGGTGCCTCCTGCAGCCACACTGGACGGTGGCATCGGGCTCCTGCTGCCCATGCAGGAGAAGACGTACCGGCGGCTGCTGATGCTGCAGAATGCGCTGACCACCATGCTGCCCCACCATGCCGGCCTCAACCCCAGGGCCTTCCGGTGAGTGTGCGTCCCCCACCCCCCGCCCGTGTCCTGTCGCCCTACACAGCCTGCATGTCTCCCCAGAATGCTGCATGTGGACCGGCGCATCCTGCAGAATGCCGTGCGGAACGTTCTGGACGGGGAGCTGCTCAACCGCTACCTGTACCTGAGCACTATGGAGCGTGGCGAACTGGCCAAGAAGATCGGCACCACTCCTGACATTGTGAGCCCCCTGCCTGCCCAGCGTGGCCCACCCCTCCCCACCTGGCCCTCCCCCCACTCACCAGCCCCATCTCCCTGCAGATCCTGGACGACCTGTTGGAGACTGACCGTGTCACAGCCCACTTCTAGGGTCCTGGATGCCACCACCACCCCTGTGCACTGTCCCCACCCCTTTTTGTACAAAACACAAGGGAAAGATGTTTGATTTGAGAAGAGCTTGTGGTCATTGTCAGGCCTCCTGGCTGGGCTATGGTCAGAGCCCCATGGTGTTCCCCCCCCACCCCCCACTCTAGGCCACAGCTGCTTCAGCGCCCCAGGTCTCGGGGGGGTGTGCACTTCCAGCCCTGGCCAGCTCTGTCGGTCCGACGCTGGATGAGCTCGGAGGTCCTCTTGCCTCCGGGACTCCCTAGGTCTCCAAGTACTCAGAGAGCCGCTGGGTCTCAGGCAGGAGGCCCAGGTGGACCAAGAGCCGAACCAGGAGGGCAGTGAGCCGCATAGATAGGGTCTCCAGCCTGGGTGGGAGGCCAGAGGGGTCACAGGTTGGTGGGGAGCAGGTCTCGACCACCTGCCCTGGATGCCTGCCCCCTCCCATCCCCTCACCTTAGGGCCACTTCAAACTTGAACATTTCCCAGATGACCCTGATGTGGCGCAGGAGGCTGGCACCGTAGAGGCTCTGGTACGCTGCATCTGCCAGGCGGCTCCAGCCCCTGACCGCGCTGCCCAGAGACACAGTCAGCCTGGCCCAAGCCCACTCCATCCGCCACTTCCCACCCCCGGGCATCCCGCCAGCCGGCACCCACCTCTTGGCCATGAGGAAGTAGCGGTCCACAGGGGTGCCCAGGGCGGTGTTGATGGCACGCACGGTGTTGATATTGCGCAGCACGAGCAGCATGGGCCGCGGCAGGGCCTTGAGCACCCCCATGATGTCCTCAAAGTGCTCTTGCGCCATGGTCTGCATGTAGGCTGCCTCCTCCCGGCTGAGCAGGTGTGAGCCCCACAGCTGCCCCAGGCGTACGGGCCGCTGCATGAGCATCTCGGAAAAGAGGAAGTAGTCTGGGGGGGCGGTGAGCCAGGACTGCGTGCCCCACAAGCCCCCAGGCCCGCACCCCCCGGCCGGGGGGGGCACTCCGAGTGCCTCTGCATGTGTCTTCATGGCGGCATCGTCCCTGAGAATGATGGCCCGCCATAGCTGGCACAGGGCCGACCGGTCCCTGTGGGAAGCCGGCACTAAAACCCAGGCACCGGGGCCCTGCCCCCTCAGCCCCCCCCCCCCCCCCCCCCCCCCCCCCCCCCCCCCCGGCTCCCTGCCTTACTTCTTGTCCAGAAACTGGTAGAGCCCGTGGTCCAGCAGCACCAGCTGGGCCTTCCCGTCGGGGCCTTTCCGCACCAGAACTAGGGACACAGCGTGTCGGCTCGTGTCCCCTGACCCCCGACTCTCACCCCCACCCCCGGGGACTTTTCCTACCATTGCCAGGGTGGGGGTCCGAGTGGATGAAGCCTGTATAAAATATCTGCTCCGCAAAAGCCTGGATGAGCTTCTCCGCGATCTGGGGGGAAGACAGGACTGGGCCATCACCCTGTGCTTGGGGCGCGCACATGCCCGGCCACGCCCACACGCTGATGCACACGCACTCACATCCTTCACCGCCAGCCCCATGCACTTGATGGCCTCCACATCGCTGACCTTGCAGCCTTCGCAGAATTCAGCCGTCAGCACACGCTGGGAGAGAGCAAGTGGCTGAGCTCAGCAGGGCTGCACGTCCCCACCCAGGAGGGGGCCCAGCCCACCTTGCTGGACGTGTCCCAGTGCACGCGGGGGACCACGATATAGCGGAAGTGCTGCAGCTCCCGGGCACAGCGCTCGGCGTTTCGGCCCTCGTTCTCGAAGTCCAGCTCCTGCGCCAAGGTGCCCTTCAGGTCCTGGGGGCCACACGGGCAGCTGGGGGTCGAGGCTGGGGACCAGCCCACCCCAGCACATAGCATGCAGACCCTGCTTGCTCCGGCCTGTCTCTGGGCAGCAGTTACCTGGAGGACCCAGCTGAAGCCAAAGCTGGGGTGCATGAACTCGATGAGCTGGAGCAGGAGCTCCAGGGTGTGGATGTCGCCATCAAAGCGGTCCCGCAGATCGATGTACTGCACCTGCATTGGGCAAGGGTGCAGGGAAGACCCAGGGCTGCCAGCACTGGCCCAGACCCCGCTGCAGCGCAGAGCGGGCCCCCATGTACCTTCACAGCCACCTCCGTGCCATCGTGCAGCTTGGCTCGGTGCACCTGGGCCAGGCTCGCGGCGGCGATGGGCTGATAGTCGAACTCCCGAAAGAGTTTGTGGGGCAAGGCCTGGAAGTCCTCGAGGAACAGCTCGTCCACCTGGCAGGAGAGGGTTCTTGGAGCAGTGGGGGGGGGGGGACGACGACGTGGGGCACTGCCAGAGCCCCCAGCCCAAGTGCAGGGCTCACCTCCTGGAACCCGCGCGTGAGGGCCCTGTCTTCCAGCACACGTAGAGTCCTGATATACTCCGGGGGCAGCAGGTGGTTGAAGGAGCACAGCCCCTGGCCCAGCTTCACGTACAGGCCCCCGTTGCTGATGGCTCCGGCGACCAGGGCATCAGCCGCCCGCTGGTGACATGCAGACATCACCTCCAAGTACCCTGGGCTGTTCTGACCACAGGCATGGAGGGAAGGGATGGGGGCGGGCGGGCAGGTGCCGCCTCAGTGCCCCCAGCACCCACCTTCATCTAGCGTGTCACCGTCCCCCTCTCTTCTCCCACTGTGGCTAGGAAGCAGGGACAAACCTCTTCCACCCCACGCAGGACGATGTTCGCACACCACCAGTAGTCCAGGGAGATCTGTAGGCCTATCCTCAGAGACCTGTTGACAGAGGCTGCCTTCAGCTCTCGGCAGGCACAGCACCTCAGAGCCGTCCCAGCCCCGGCCCAGACCCCCGGCCCAGACCGAGCACGTGGCAGGGGCTGCTGGGCTTCCAGGCTGGACCAGGAGGGAGAGGACAGGCTCCGGTGTGGCCTCCTTGCTCTCAGCGCTGCCAGCAGGGCAGCTTCAGCTCCTGGTCTACACCACCCCTGTGCCCGAACACGCACCAACGAGCACCCAGCACAGACGGGAGGGGCAGGAGCTGGTGGGGGGGCGCTCAGGCCCGAAGGACCAGGCTTCTTACTGCTCTCTTACAGCACCTAAGACGGGGGGGGCACTGATGGCTAGTGAGCGGCTGTCACCAGCTCCCGTGCTCAGGCATGCCCTTACCCCAGGCCCCTCTGCACTGCATGCCCTGCCGAGCTCCCAGGCGCTCTCCACGTGTCCGTGGACAGCAGCCTCCAGGGAGCTGGATCCCAGAGCAGGGCTCCTAGTGCTCTCCACTGTCCTGGGGACCCGGGCCCCTCCTTATGTTGGCAAGGGTACTCACTCCCCGTGGCCCAGGCTATGGACAGGCAGCCCTGGGTCTGGAGAGGGAAGGAACCAGGGCTGAGTCCAGCCTCCAGCATCACAGACCGCAGACCCTCAAACCTTCATGAGAGGGGTGTAGGGCTCCTGTTCCTCAAGGAAGAAGCCCTGAGGGGACCAGAAGCCCTGAGGGGACCTGGGGCCACTGGTCAAGCCAAACCTCTATCTTCTGCCTCCCAGCCACCTCCGCCACAGGAGGGTGAGAGCTGAAAGGGAGGAAGGAAAAGGCTGCTGGGTTCCGGACCGGTTTGCCTCCCTGCTAGGGTATATGCTACTCCCAGCAGTTGTGGTGACCGAGCATGCTTGAGCAGTGTCAGAGGGCAGCCCGTGCCTTATGCGTGCCGCACTGCACTCCACAAATGAATGGGCTCTGTCCCGCTCACCCCCAGCCGGACCCAGGGAACTAACAGGACTATCTGTGAAGACTAGAGTGCATGGTTGGCAGGGTGAGCAAGGACACAGCAATTCTCTGAGCTCCCTAGAGATACCAAGCGGGGGAGGGGGGCTTCCCTCCTTCCTGAATAATTCAGTCCAAAAGGGAATGCAAGGTCTGCAAAGGGGCGGGGGTAGTTGCTACACTTGGTGACCGATCAAATAAGTCACTAAATTATGGACAAGGAAAGCCAAGATTCTTCCAGTTGGAGAAAGGAGTAAATGAGAATGATCTCTGTACTGGGAAATATCTGCGTGAATGCAAGGTGTGGTGTGTATGGCTAGATACAGAGATGGACAAATGTAGCGTGCACATGCACACAGCCACACGTCCAAACAGCCCCTCGCTCTAGTCTATGGAAGGGCCTGGGAGCAGACTGCCCAGAGCAGCAAGCACAGCCCTGGTCCTTAAGACCCTTCTCCAGGGGCGCCTGGGTGGCTCAGTCGTTGAGCGTCTGCTTTAGGCTCGGGTCATGATCCCAGGGTCCTGGGATCGAGTCCCGCATCAGGATCCCTGCTCAGTGGGAAGCCTGCTTCTCCCTCTCCCACTCCCCCTGCTTGTGTTCCCTCTCTCGCTGTGTCTCTCTGTCAAATAAATAAATAAAACCTTTAAAAAAAAAAGACCCTTCTCCGTTCCAAGGAACCAGGCTCCCGGGAGAATGGCTGAATCCAGGCCTGGGAAAGAACAAGATGAGCCTGGAGCATCTCAGTGCAAGAAGGAATAAAATGCTCCAGAAATGGAGACACAGCAAGAGGACTCACGGGTTGGGAGTTAACACAACAACTATTTGAAGAGGTAATGGCAAAATCTAGGTTCACTGTACAGTGTTTCCAACTCCGCTGTTTGAAATTGTTTACAATAAAATGTCAGAGATAAAAGAAAAGGATCTACACCTGAAAGTAATATTACACTGTATGTTAACTAACTGGAATTTAAATAAAAACTAGGAAATAAAAAAAATGATCACAAAGGCTAAACCCGGAACAACAAAAAAATAACCGACATCAACAGAGATCAATCCACACAATCAAATAAAAAATCCGTAAGTCCAGACTGATACAAACAAATGGGGAGAAGAGAAAGTTTTCTTATAGTAGAATGGCAACTAACAGACGTGGTACAGCTGAACTAGAAAAACCACCATGTGGGGCCCCAGTAAGAATGAATTCACCTAAGGGTCCTGGGAGCTGCTGAGCCAGTGGGCAGAAGGGCAACGGGAACCGACCCCAACATCACTCCAAGACAAGGGGCCCGGACAAACCACGCACCGCCCTGGAGGTGCAGAACGTGCCAAAATGCACCAACTGAATCCAACCACGAGCAAACCTCAGACAAACCCAAATGGGGGGGCCTTCTACAAAAGGGGGCAGCAACATTTTTCTTTACGAAGTTAGACGGTAAAGATTTTGGGCTTTCTGAGCCATATGGCCTCCCCTCTGCTGTCGCAGTGAGAGCAGCCCAGGTAACGTGCACAGCGGACAAGACCACAGGTCCAAGAAAGCTTATTTATCAAACGGGCAGCAGCCATGTTTGGCCACAGTCTGCTGACCCCCACTGGACAACATCACTGGTCTATAAGCCTCCCAATGTGTCAAGGTCATGTGTAGTGAAGAATTAACTTCAGCCAGAAAGGCCCAGCCTTTGTCCCAGCTCCTGGCAGGTGGCCTCTGAAGGCCTGCAATCTCCCGAGGGACAGGAGTGTCTGGGATTGGTGATGGGCCCGGGCAGTGCATGCTGGTGCTGTGCTCAGATTGCCAGAGGTCAGCCCAGCGGGGGGAGGGAGGGCGACTGGAGGCAGCTCAGTCGGAGGCCAATGATTCAGTCACGCCTAGGAGACTCCCGTGGAAACCGTGCACACTGAAGCTCACAGAATGACCGGAATGCACTGCGGCATGTCAGCGACAGGGCAGGAGTAGGGGTGTCACAGGTCTCTGAGGACATGGAAACTCTGAATTTGGGCTCTCCCAGGCCTCACCCTGTGCATCTCTTCCTTGGGCTCATTCTGATTTGTATCTTTTTTTTTTTATTTAAAGATTTTATTTATTTGTTTGACAGAGAGAGACACAGCGAGAGAGGGAACACAAGCAGGGGGAGTGGGAGAGGGAGAAGCAGGCCTCCCGTGGAGCAGGGAGCCCGATGTGGGTTCGATCCCAGGACCCTGGGACCGTGACCTGAGCCGAAGGCAGAGGCTTAACGACTGAGCCACCCAGGCGCCCCTGATCTGTACCTTTTTTTGCTATGATAACACCTTAATCAAGAGTACAGCACTTTCCTGAGTTCTGTGATTTGTCCTAGGGAACCACTGAAACTGATAGCCCTGGGCGCACATGGGAGTCTGGGGACCATGCTTGACCTCAAGTTTAGCCATAAGAGCCAAGGAGACACGGGGGGACTGTTCTAGGCGGCAGGAAATTAGAGATGGGCCTGGTACGGGATCCTTGTGCTAAAAAGGTTATTGCTGGGATGCCTGGCGACAGGTAGTCAGAGGCTCATAACGCACCAGTGTCCTGATGGTGCTTATGGACAATGTCCTTGTTTAGGAAATACACCCCAGCTTGCAGGGACAATGGAACACATTGACAACTCATTTGTCTAATTCCTACAACTTTTCTGGACATGTGAAACTGTATTCAAAAACAAAAAAAAGCCCACAGGTTTCTGAGAAGTTAAAATTGAACAAGGGGCGGGGTAAGCAAGCAAGGACTTTGATGCAGACTTCCTACTGCCTATCTCCGAGCCTTCACACACTCGTGACGTGTTCTGATCGCTCTCCTACAACAGAACAAGCTCCCGACTCCCCTGGTGAAGCCAGCCCCGACATGCTCCCCACCTGTGCTCCATCCCTGGGCTCCAGCACATACGCTGACCCTGACTCCGGAGGCCCTGTGGTCACCCTGTGCCCAGCCTGCCTGTCCTGCAATGGCTGGGGCTTACAGCTGACAAGAACACGTTGGGAAAAGAATAGTTGTAGCTGCCTCCCTCCAATCCCAGCTCAGCCTCTGAAAGCAAGCTGTGAAAATACATTTTCTCAGGAAGGAAGCCGAGAAGGCAGGCGCGCCTGCGATGGGGCATCTGACACTGGGCAAGAGCAGCATGTAGGAGGCGGACGCGAGACAAGCTCAGACATGCCAAGTATGCATTTCGGAAGCAGGCTGCATGGGAACCGTCCTCACCAGTCCCACACAGTGGAGAGCCACAGAAGAAAAGAGCCAATTCCAGGCTCTGCCCTCATCCACCTCAGGACTGGGAGACTGGACAACCCTACAGGACAGAGAACTCACTACCCAGAACCTGCCCAGGAGGGCAATGAGGTGCTTTAGGCAAACCTGACCACCTAGGGAGACAGGTGTGCAGGGGCGGGGCCACCATCAAGGAGTTAAGAAGTGACCAGTCTGTCGTGTCCTCATGGCAGGAAGTGGTCAAGCATTCAGCCATCCACCTGACCATGGCCTCCATCAGCATAAATTTCAGGGAAGTTTCTGGCTAGGTGCCCGAAGGCCTTAGTAGTCCTAAGCCTTCCGCTGAGAGATGGACCCAGGTTTGAGAGGCTGCAGGTGCTCAGAGCTGCAGCCCCCGACCCCGCAGCCTCCTCAAACAAGGAGGATGAACCACTTCCCTGGGCAACCATGTGCACCCCCCAGTCCAGCCCAACAGTGCGTTTGGGTAGACTGAGGTTTCACTCAAAGCCAAGAGCTGGTTCTCAGGATTTCTTGGCTGTAGGAATTCCTCCAACAGGAATATCACCCCTACCCCCCAAGAATCTTGCACAGGTAGATAAGGGAGTATGAAAAGGGCCTTCAGTTTAAGGCACCCTTAATATTAATGACCAGACACTATCCATCTCTAGACCAGTCCACTGGGACTGGAGGAGGGATGGCAGCCCTCCCCTGAGCCCCAAAGCCCTCTGGGTGCCAACTCTCCTTGGGGGGAGTGGAGGCGAGAAGAAAGAGGAAGAGGAGGAAGCAGCTTCCCGTCTGCCCACCAGCCGGCAAAAACCTGACCAGCTCTCCCTGCAGCTGGCCGAGGGTGATCTGAAGGGTAAGAGGCCACGTCTGGTGGGCATGGCTCGTTGGCACTATGACCACGTGGACCTGGCAGTACTGGAACGTCTGGAAGGCAGCTTGGAAGGTTCCAGCAAAACCCTGCAGCCCCTCCCAGCCCCAGCTCCGGCTCCGCACATCTCAGGACAGGCGGGGGCAGGGGAGAAAGCCGTGCCGTGCCCCTGCTCCTTCTACCTGCTGAAGCGCCCCACGCCGTCCACCACAAGCCTCATCCTTCTCTTCTCCTGAGGCTCTGCTGTGAAATAGCGGGCCCCAAGTAGCAGGGGTACCCCCAGCATCGTGGCAGAGAGCGCCTTCCTCCATAGGGGCTGGGGTCTGAAGGACCTGGAGGGAGACAGAGGAGCATGGTGCAGGTCACTTCCTGTCTGCCCACCGGGCCTGGGCTCTGGGGCCTCTGCTGCCCACAGGCTGAGGGGCACTCTCAAACAGAACCTGGCCCACCCCAGGGAGCTGCAGCTCTACGAGAAGCCTCTGCAGGCAGCACCGGTTCCAGAGGCCCGAGTGGTCACTAGTGTGTTCCAAGTCACCTTGCCTGAGCCCCATGGATACCTTGGATGCCAGGCTCCAAGGGGCCAGTGAGCAAAGAAAGCAGCTCTTTGGCCTCACGCGAAGCAGCTCACAGGCAGAGCTGAGATCCTCACCGGACGAGGGCCTCCTATGCTGTATGGAGTTACAACCACTGTCGCCCAACTGAACTGCCAAGTGCCAGGTGATGGGGACTAAGGGCGAGCCCAACAGGAGCCCAACAGGAGCCCCCTGCCCCAAGGTCACCAGGCAGCGAGTGCATGCTTGGGTAACTCACTGCGGCCCGCCAGGCCTGAGTCTAGCCTCCTGACGCTCCCCACCTCACCCCCCCACTGTCCTGCCCACTGGCTTCAGGCCTGGAACCCTCCTACGTCCAGTTCTCGCTACTTCTCCCTGCTGTTTTGGCCCCATCCACAGCAGTCCCACCCTTCTTCACGGCTCTAGCCTCGGTGTGCTCATGCCACTGCTGTCGGGGAGTCCTGCCCCAGGGGCGCCAGTCCCTGGCGGGGGCAGGGGGCTACCAACCCCAAGCCACCACACAGAGGAGCAGACGCATCTGTCTTGGGGGTGGAAACACAGAGAAGTCCAGCCTTGGGCCCCACAAGAGAGGTCTTCCATCCCTGCCTGGCAAGAGGCACGGGCCCTAGAGGGCACCTGGGGCTGTGGAGAACTCACCAACTTGCGGGCAGGACCCTGAGGTTTCTCCTGGGGAAGGCAGGGGGGCACCGCCAGGGGTTCCGCCTGCTGTGCAGCAGGGCAGAGTGGAAGCCGCAGAGCTGTGACTGCAAAGGGAGCAAACAGCACAGGGTCACACGGGCCTGGAGCCGAGGGGCAAGCCGTACCTCCCGGTACCCAAATATGCCATCAGCGCCTGTCAGCACTTGCAGGGCTGTGCTCGGGGCCAGGCCTACACGTTTGGTTCAGGAATGCGGGACGATCCCTCCTCTGGAGAGCAAGGCCGAGATCCATGAATGACACGAGAGAAGGCAAGGCTACACTGTTTGTACCAGGAGCTTCTGCCTCGAGGCCCATGACAGGTCATTAGAAACGCCCACCTCTGTGCATCCCTTCCATCCCCGCCTTGGACCCTCTCCTCGGGGCCCTGGGACCTCTCCCTATTTGTCTGTTGCTCAGCCCGCTGAGCAGCAGCCTCAGGAAGTCATTCTGAATTTCCAAAGGAATGATCAATAATGCTTAATCACACAATCAGAAAGATGTCAGACTCGAGAAGACCAGAGGCAGGAAAAGGGACCCTGTGTAGGTCGTTCTGAGAACACCTGCTAGGACCCCGGAGGCGGAGGCCTGGAGGAGGGCAGGGAAGGCCAAGTGGAAGACGTGCCACAGGTACCACGGGCACGGCACAGCGCTGGCTTATTCCAGTGACCACAGAAACATGGCTCCCCTACGCTGACAACCCTGGTCTCCCAATCTTACTTGAATTATGGGGTCTTAAGAGTTCCTCAACCACAAACTGCCAACTGCAAATTCTTTTTAGGGAAAAAGAAAGGTTATGCATAGTAAGTCATGACTCATGGCACAGATGTTAAACATTTTTATCATGAACCCTGGACCAAATAAAGGACCGACTTTCCAATCATTTTCTGGCCAAAACACACAGCCCTGGAGACCATTTCAAGGACTGCAAAACAAGACAAAAGTCAAAGGAAAAGGTCCATGACCTATTGTCCCAAGAGAACACAGGCTGACAGAAAACCTCTGCTCAGCAAGGCCACACACAGTGAGCGCAGCTCCTCAAGGAAACCCCACAGAGGCGAGAACGGCAGCGCGGGCAGACAGGAGGTGAGGACCAGCGGCAGGAAGAGCCCCTAGGCTTCCTGTGCAAGAGAGCAGGATAGCACAGCCCCCTCCCCCCGCCCCAGCCCTCTGGCCCGCACAACCTGACTCGGCCACATGCACACAGCTATGCTGAGGCTCAGCGGCAGAAGAGGAAGCCCAGAGGATGGGCATCTGTGACCACAAATATCTGGTGGATAGTCACTCAGAATATTAGAGAGTGCCTGCAGCATGGCTGGTCCCACAGTGGGATCCCAAAGGTTTGTGACAACAAGCAGGTGTGCCAGGAAGGAAAGCACTGCCCACACCATCCACTCCCCTCAGATGCATCTCTGTCCAGGCTCCGTCCAGCCCCTGCCTGTTCTCTTCAAGGCCTTCGGCCCCTCCCTCCCCGTACTCCTCGCCTGATTCCAACCTTCTACCACATGCACCCATCACACAAACCCTACCAGAGATGCCCTGTGTGACACTGGGTCCTGTATGCAACCAGGGGCCACGGACAGATGCAAAGCCAAGAAGACACAGGGACAGCATGGGGCACAAGGGAGGGAGGGTGCTGCCACCTGGCAGTGAGTAGGACCTCCACATGAACACCAGAGAAGGTCTTCTATACAGAGAATGCGGACTCAGTAGAGGCCTGAAGCCAGGACAGCACAGGGCATTTCTGGGGAGGAGAGGCCTATGTGAAAGGCTGGAAAACATACTGTATGCTCATAGGTGGGGGGGGGTGCCCAAAAAGAGCGGGCAGCAAAGTGAGCCAGAGTCAGGCAGAGCATCCCGAGGGGCCCTGGGGTTTTCCTGCAGGGAGTGGGCACTGTGCTGGGGAGGTCAGTCCAGGAGGAGGGTGCTGGGTGATGGAGCCAAGTGGATTCAAGGCAAGTGCGAGGAACTGGCAAGATGGCCCAAGGCTGGTGCCTGAGAGCCAGGGAGTGCTGCGATGCCTGGAGCTCCGGCCAGTGAGGGCCGTGCTGGGATTCTGATCTGAAGGAGACTGCAAGCCCCCTGAGTAAGAACTGACAACAGCCACCAGCTGCCAGCCGCTGGAGCTCAGCACTCATTGTCAGTGGCCCTGAGCAAGTCCAACAAGTGGCTCCAGGGTGCGGGGCATCCTTTAAACAGCCTGGCCTCTTCAGAAAGTCATTAGGATTCATGAGTTGGGAACACTGGTACTAGGCACAGTCGTTAATCAATTCTCTGCTTCTATAAATATTTGCAAGATTTTTTAAAGATTTATTTATTTGAGAGAGAGCAAGCGGAGGGAGAGGGAGACAAGGAGACTCCCCACTGAGCGAGGAGCCTGACATGGGACTCGATCCCATGACCCTTGGATCATGACCTGGGCCGAAATCAAGAATTAGACGCCTACTACGTTCAGCTCAGGTCATGATCCCGGGAGTACTGGGATGAGCCCCGCGTCGGGCTCGCTGCTCAGCGGGGAGTCTGTTTCTCCAGCTCCCTCTGCCCCTCCCCCCGCTTGCGTGAGTTCTCTCTCCAAAAAAAAAGAATTGGACACTTAGCCAACTGAGCCACACAGGCCCTCCAATATTTGCAATTTTTGATTAACAATAAGTTAAAAAACAATCACAGGAAAAAAGTGGGAAGACTGTTGTAGACCGGGAGGCTAGACAGACAAGACGCCTGGGCGCACCTCAGGCTGCAGGAAGGCTCCTATAAACCCAGTCCTGGGACAACAAGCTGGTCAGAGTACGACAGACATTCGGGAATGACTGCTCACGCTCCTAGGCACGATTAAGTGAGAAAGATGTTTAGGGGATGCATGTTGAAATGTTTAGATTGTGTCAAAATGTCTGCAACTTACTTTCAAATGGTCCAATGACAACAAAATATATGGTTTCAAATAGAAATAGGAACAACGAGAGCAAGATATTCATAATGGGTGGATCTAGGTGGTGGGTATCGGGACAGTTAACTATGTAGGACCATTCTGTCAGCTTGTCCCTGTATTTAAACGTTCTCATGATCAAAGTGGCAGGCATCTGCTACGCTCTTCCCAGTCCCAGTCAGGAAGGTGGCGCTGTTTTATTATCCTATTGTTTCCTTTATAAACTTACTTGCAATCACATACAAAGCTTTATATAGTTACATAAATGACTAAACTGTAAATCCCTTACCTAATATAGTCTAATACAAATAATTACTTTTACCACCTCCCCCAGTTGCAAATACTTTACTACACTGTCAATTCTATTTTTAACCTTCCTTTTATATTATTGTCATGCATTTTTAAGTTGTTTTTGGTTTTTTGTTGTTGTTTGTTTTTGAGAGGGAGAAAGAGAGGGAGGGCATGGAAGGGGCAGAGGGAGAGGGAAAGAATCTTAAGCAGGATCCACGCCCAGCACAGAGCCTGACATGGGGCTCCATCTCACCACTCAGATTATGACCTGAGCCAAAATCAAGTCAGATGGTCAACCAACTGAGCCACCCAGGCGCCCCTATTTTAAGTTTTTATTTTACTTCCAGCATAGTTAACATACAGTGATTCAACACTTACACACATCACCTGGTGCTCATCACAACTGCACTCCTTGATCCCCACCATCTGTTTCCCATCTCCCTCCATCTTCCTCCCCTCTGGGGACCATCCATTCTCTATACTTAAAAGAGTGTGTTTCTTGCTTTGTCTCTTTTGTTTTTTCCTTTGCTCATTTGTTTTTTAAATTCCACATATGAGCAACATCATATGGTATTTGTCTTTCTCTGACTTACTTTGCTTAGCATTATTACTCTTTAGCTCCATCCATGTTGTTGCAAATACCAAGATTCCATTCCTTTTTATGGCTGAATAATATTCCATTGTATATATACCACTTTTTCATCCATCATCAGTCGATGGACACTTGGACTGCTTCCATAGTTTGGCTATTGTTGGTAGTGCTGCTATAAACAAAGGGGTGCATGTATCCCTTTGAATTAGTGTTTTTGTATTTTTTGGGTAAATAGCTAATAGTGCAATTGCTGGGTTATAGGGTAGCTCTATTTTAACTTTTTGAGGAACCTCCATACTGTTCTCCAGAGTGGCTGCATCAGCTTGCATTCCCACCAGCAGTGTAAGAGGGGTCCTTCTTCTCCATATCCTAGGAAGGTGGCATTTTGAAGATGAGGCAGCTAGGGTAGGGCAGGGGTACTCACCAGGGGCAACTGTGTGCCCAGGACATCTGGCATTGTCTGGAGACACTCTTAGTTGTCACAACCTGGGAAAAGGGGTGCTCTTAGCATTGAACGGGTGGAGGCCAGGGACACTGCCCAACACCAGACAGTGCCCAGGATGGCCCTGCCCTAGAGACTCAGGTAGAGCCAAGGCTGAGAAGGGGCAGACTAAACGCAGACTGCTGAGCCTGGTATTGGAAGGCAGGCTCCAGCAAGTACTAGCTGTGCAGTGAGAGCAAGCTACCTCCCTCTCTGCACCTCAGTTTCACTGTCTATAAAGCAAGGACCACCGTACTGTTCACGTATGGGTCAAGTGAACATTTGCAAAGCCCTCTGCACTGTGCCCAGCCCACACGACAGACCAGGCAGATGGGCATGCTGAGGTCATTCTGGGATCAAGGAGCAGCTACTCTCCACAGCTCTCCTGCTCACTGTGCCATGCCACCTGCGGGTCCCCATGCCCTCACTCTCCTGCCAACAGCCCTGCCCCCAGGAGTCCGCTCCACCTAACATGAAGAAGTACATACTTGCTAGATCAAATTTAACTATTTATGTTAACAGATCATCAGGTTCCCACAGCTTTTTCAGGAGAAAAAAATAGCACTTAGTCCAGAAGATAAAAGAGACTATTTCCAACATATGTAAAACTTGAAAAAAAGTTACATATAGAATATGAAGAAATGCTTTACTTAATAGGAGCAGAAGGGCAGGAGCGAGCAAAAGGACAGCACGGTTTGCTGCAAAGTTCCAGTGGGGCTCATGGGTTCAGAAGCACCACCGCCGCAGACAAAGAAGGAAAATGGCCAAAGCTGATGGACAATGATTATTCTGAGACATAAGCATTCAAAAAGGAAGGGAAGGGAAGGGAAAGGGGAAGGGAAGGGGGGAGGGGGGAGGGGCAGGGGCAGGGGCAGGGGAAGGGGAAGGGAAGATTTGTGAGCTATTCTAGCCAATAAACTGGAGAAGCAGAGAGAAAGGCCTCATGGTTCGGAGGCTGCAAGCACCAAGGCTGAAGCAAGGGATGGCAGGGAATGTAACATGCCAGAGCCCAGGCATGGCTGCCCCAAGACTGCAGGCTAAACCCAGCATCACAAGAGCCCCAGACCCTCCAGATACCCATGAGGGCTGAGCAAGAGGGGCCACACTCATGTCCTTTCACAGAGCAGCATGCTAACTCTGAATTATTTTACACTAAAGCCCAAGGCCCTGGCTGCACCCCAAGCCTCAGAAGGGGCAAGGCCAGAAGGGTAACTGCCCCTGGCCGCAGTCCCCAGTACCAGTTTCTGCTTTCTTAGATACCGTTGCAGCAGTAAGGACCCGGGCTGCATCTCATCATGCCCCAATTCATTTCCCAGCGGTGAGTGACTCTTCACACTCCCATAACAAAGGTCCCTCTGGTAGAACCTGGACAGCCCACACAGCACCAGGCCCAGGTGCCTGGAATGCCCTTCCCCAGACCCTAATTCCCCAGTCCTGTCTCTCATCCCCCATCCGCCTCTGCAAGTTGTACACGCCTCTCCCACTATCCTTATCACACCAGAGTGGGACTGTTAGTTTGGTCTCTGTTCCCCCACCAGACTGTGCAGGGTCCACCTCTTAATCATCTCTGTGCTTCTAGGATCTAGTGCAGTGCTATTAGATAAAGCAGGAACTCCGTGAAGCCTTGCTGAATGGAGATAAATGGTGACAGAATGAACCAGAACCCCACACGGCCCAACCCTGAGTACTAGGTGAGCAGTATGAAGAAGGCCACGGTCAGGTAAGGGATGGCAGCGGCCCTTGCGGCAGCCTGGCTCTGCACAGGACTCCAAGGATGGGGCCTCGTGCCGACCGCTCCAGAGCCCCGACCTCGGCCCAGTACCCGGCTCCTGCCGGTGCTCCTCAGTACCCCCACTGTCCAGGAGACATCCCCGAAGCCCAAAGAAGTCACATGACTACAAATACGGGACAGAACCTGTAGCCAGATCTTCCAGGAACCAGGCCAGGGCAATTTCCAGCACATCACATATAACTCAAATCACACCCAGAGCTTAAGCACCAGAACATGCCAGCAAACAGGCAAAGAGAGAGCTGTGGACCGCCCGGCTGCTCCCCCAGGCACCCGTGCCTTCTCACCAGGACAACTACACTCCCTGGCTTGCCTGGGACAGCCCTAGCTTACACTTGTCTCTGCACCCACCACCTCAGAGCCTTCCAGTTTGGACAAGATGAAGTGGACCTTCTCTACCCCAGTCTCTCATGCTTGCTTCTTTCTTTCTTTCTTTCTTTTTCTTCCTTCCTTCCTTTTTCTTCCTTCCTTTCTTCCTTCCTTTCTTTTTATTTTTTTTAAACTTTTTATTTTTTATTTTTTTTAGATGTTTTATTTATTTGAGAGAGAGAATGAGATGGAGAGAGCATGAGAGGAGGGAGGGTCAGAGGGAGAAGCAGGCTCCCCGCTGAGCAGGGAGCCCGATGCGGGACTCGATCCCGGGACTCCAGGATCATGACCTGAGCCGAAGGCAGTCGCTTAACCAACTGAGCCACCCAGGCACCCTCTTTCTTTTTTTTTTTTTTTTAAGATTTTTTACTTATTTATTTGACACACAGAGAGATAGTAAGAGAAAGCACGAGCAGGGGGAGCGGCAGAGCAGGCAGAAGGAGAGGGAGAAGCAGGCTCTCCGCTGAGCAAGGAGCCCGATGCGGGGCTCGATCCCAGGACCCTGAGCCAAAGGCAGCCACTTAACGACTGAGCCACCCAGGCGCCCCCTTCTCATGCTTTCTTAGAGTATGTGCACAGCCTGCCTGCAGAAACAGAGTGCTCATCTGGAACTCAGCTAACAACGTATAAAGTAGGGGGGAAAAAAAAGGCTCTGAGTAGTGAGACTCAAATAGATATTACAAAGGTCACCAACAGGCCGAGCTACCCGCTTCCCTGCCACGCTGTCGATTAGACAGAGCACATTAGGGGTTGAAAGGTCATTGCAGGCAAACCAGCCCACAGCACTAAGAAGCACCTGCTGCATCTCATGATGAGGCCCAAACCAGAAGAACTACAGAAGTGACAGAACCACGCCTGTTTCCTGGCAGGGTCAACCGCCCTGTGTACTTAAACAGGAGAGGAATCCAAGGCACAGAAATGTTCCCACAGGTAGGAAGTGAGCCTAGGAATCTGGGCCCAGGAGAGGTGGCCTAGAGGACCATGAATACCCTGCCCTTTTCTTTTCCAAGGGTCTATGACCCTCTTGGCATCAGTCAGGTCTCAGAAGCTTACTGGGCTCTGCTCCACTTACCAGATGTGAGCAGCTCCTCATTAGAAGCTAAAACCTGCCTGCCCACTCCTTAGAGCGGTTGGGAGGATTAAGTGACCCAAATATGTGCACTTTGTAAGCTGTAAAGTGCTGAGCTAAAGGCCAATTCAGTGCCCGTTTGCCTGGCTCTCACACTACCTCTGCCTCATCCCAATCCATAAAACACCCTTGTGGAAGGCAGCTGCTCATTGCAAGTCACAAAAATGAACAGAAATGCATCTGTACTTAAGTTGAAAACCCAAAAGACTCCACCTCAGAACTGCTAGAACTCATACAGGAATTCAGCAACGTAGCAGGATATTAAGTCAATGCACAGAAATCAGCTGCATTTTGTACACTAACAATGAGACAGAAATAGGCAGAAGACATGGACAGACATTTCTCCAAAGAAGACATCCAAATGGCCAACAGACACATGAAAAAGTGCTCAACATCACTTGGCATCAGGGAAATACAAATCAAAACCACAATGAGATACCACCTCACACCAGTCAGAATGGCTAAAATGAACAAGTCAGGAAACGACAGCTGTTGGCGGGGATGCGGAGAAAGGGGAACCCTCCTCCACTGTTGGTGGGAATGCAAGCTGGTGCAACCCCTCTTGAAAACAGTCTGGAGGTTCCTCAAACAGTTGAAAATAGAGCTACCATACGATCCAGCAATTGCACTACTGGGTATTTACCCCAAAGATACAAATGTAGGGATCCGAAGGGGTACGTGCACCCCAATGTTTATAGCAGCAATGTCTGCAATAGCCAAACTGTGGAAGGAGCTGAGATGCCCTTCAACAGAGGAATGGATAAAGAAGATGTGGTCCATATATACAAGGGAAGATTACTCAGCCATCAGAAAGGATGAATACCTACCATTTGCAATGATGTGGATGGAACTGGAGGGTATTATGATAAGTGAAGTAAGTCAAGCAAAGAAAGACAATTATCATATGATCTCACCAATATGTGGAATTTAAGAAACAACACAGAGGATCATAGAGGAAGGGAGGGAAAAAGGAAACAAGAAAACCAGAGAGGCAGACAAACCATAAGAGACTCTTAATCATAGGAGACAAACAGGGTTGCTGGAGGGGAGTGGGGGTCAGGGGATGGGGTAACTGGGGGATGGGCATGAAGGAGGGCACGTGATGGAATCAGCACTGAGTGTTGTGTAAGACTGATGAATCACTGACCTCTACCTCTGAAACCAATAATATGCTATATGCTAATTAAATCTAAATTAAAAAAAAAAAAAGAAACGCATCCATACTGTTTATATCTAACCCTACAAGGCTAGGCTTACTAGAAAAATACAAGCCCTGTAGAAAACTCCAAGTTGAAAATGCTGATAAATCCTGTCTCTTCAGCTCTAAACCCTATGAGGAAAAGGATGGATTCCTGGGGCCAGAGTGGGTGAGAGCGGGGTCAGTGCTTATGACCCCAGGTTTAAAAGGTGCTGATCCCGGGGCGCCTGGGTGGCTCAGTCGTTGAGCGTCCGCCTTCGGCTCGGGTCATGGTCCCAGGGTCCTGGGATCGAGCCCCGCATCGGGCTCTCTGCTCCGCGGGAAGCCTGCTTCTCCCTCTCCCACTCCCCCTGCTCGTGTTCCCTCTCTCGCTGTGTCTGTCTCTGTGTCAAATAAATAGGTAAAAGCTTTCAAAAAAAAAAAAAAGTGCTGATACACTTTTTTCAGGGATACAACAACATGGGAGGCCCCACTGAGAAACAGAACGGGAAGAGCAGCGACCACTTTCAGGGGCTGGGAGGACAGCCTAGGGTCGGGCAGAAGTCTAGGAAGGCCTGCGGGGGGAGCGGCTCTCCAGGGCCGGCTGCCCCGCGGGAGCCCAGCACCGACGCTGCCGCCCCCCGCCCTCAGTCCTCTCCTCCGCTCAGAAGCCGGGCGGCAGGTGCCGGCTCAGGATGATGTGAGGCGGGCTGGAGACCAGGGGCCTCGGGTCCGGGGCCGCCGCACAGGGGGAAGCAGTGAGGGCTCTCAGGTGGACGTGGGCGCCGGGAGAAGGGCAAGGAGGGGTGTCCGCGAGCGGAATACATGGGGCTGTCTCGGGGGCAGCTTCCTGTCGCGGCGAACGAGCGGCCTCTGGGGTGGGCCCTCCGGTGGAACCGGGCGCCCCCCCCCCAGCACGGTCGAGGGGTCGCTACCGCGAGGAACCGGGACTCCGACGACGGTGAAGGACGCCCGCCCCCAAGAGCCCTGACGGTCCCTGACGCGGCCCAGGACGGGGCGGCTCGGGGTGGCCCCAGGGCTCCGGACGGAGGCTGACGGGGCCTGTGGGAGCGGGCGCCCGGCCGCGCCGGGCTGGGAACTCACCGGCCGCCACATCTTCCGGGCCGCCGCGCCGCGCCGCTCCCGCTCCGGCTCCCGCTTGCCGCACGCCCCCGTCGCCCCGCCCAGCAACCCCTGCGGGGCGGGGGCTCAGTGCGCACGCGCGCCCCGCCCCGACGGCGGTGGGCGGAGCCCGGAAGCCACGCCCGAGCGCGCCCGCGTCCGCGTTGGAGCAGCGCCCCCTGGCGGCCGCCGCAGCCTAGCTTTAGGGCTAGGACAGCGCGCCCTGTGTCCCCTCCCCGGCGTCCACTCCCGCAGGCGATTCCGGGCTCAGTCCTCACAGCCGCTCTGGGGCGGGGGTCTGCTCCCGCCGAATGGAAGCCGAGGCTCGGGGAGGTCAGCTCACTGGTTCCCCGGGAGCTCAGAGCATGGGCGGACGCGGGAGGGTGCGGTGGGGGGGACACTGCTCTGAGAGCTGGAGCCCGGACCGGTGGGGCGGGGAGGGGCTCAACACGTGTGTGCCACCGGTTAGGGTGACTCTCTTTAACTGCTTCGTTGCCCGCCTTCCTCGCTACAAAATGAGGTTAGAGCTCTTTGTTCCTTGGATCGAAGCCGGGGATGCTTATGGGCGCCTGCTGTGTGCCGGGCGTCATGGAAGGCGGACCGTCAGTAGCGACGCGGTGAGTGGTGAGCGCAGGACAGGCGAGACTCACGGGAAGGCTTCTTCCCCCCGCACTGGCCTGCCAGCCGGCCCGGGTGGCAGGGCAGGACCCGCCCCCTCCTCTCTAAGGCCCTCCCAGCCGGCTCCAATGCTTCTCGTCTCTACTTCTCTCCCCCGGCCAGGGGAACGCCGCTCGCGCCAGGTTCTCTCCTCTCCGCGGTACCCCAGCCTGCTCCGCCTCCTTCCCGCATCGGCGGCCACGGCGCGGAGCTCCGCGCAGCCCCCCTGCGGGCTCTTCCTTTCAGGAGCCACGCCCCTAGGGATCGGGGACGCGGGTCCGCACCGAGCCCTCTGTGGCCTGGCCATCCTGCAGCGGCCGCCCTGGGCCTCATGTCCCCTACTCCACACTTGCCAAGTCCCCCACCTTCACGTGGACTGCTCCAGAAGCTTTCTCCACTAAGGCCGGTCCCGGCAGCCCTCCTATCAGCTCCTCCCCATCCTCCCTCAAGGTTCCTTGGGTCTCGCACGGCACCCTCCCCGCCCCCACACGGCTCCTCCCTCTCCACGTGGTTCCTCCTGCTCCCGCAAGGGCAGCCCATTGGTCCCTGCAGATTGTCCCTTACCCCGGGCCCAGGTGAAGCCAGCGTCTCCTGCCGTGAAACACACCACCCCAGGCCTCTTCTGCTACAGCTCAGGGCCCAGAATCACCTTGTTCCCATCATCGCCCTGGTAACAGAAGCTGGGCTCCGCACTCTGAATGCAGACAGCTGTCCTCACTGTTTTTTTGCCTTCTCTTCACAGCCCCGTCCCTGGAGTCCGGGCTAGGGCCTGACAGTGGACCTTGAGCCCCTTCCAAAGCCAGGCTTTCTGGAATGTTCCCAATTGCATACTTTGAGCCTCCTCACCTGACCCCATGATGTTTACTGAAACAGGTCCAGGAGATAGTGTAGGCCACATAACAATGCTTCTGAAGTATCTGGGAAGTGACACCGGGCGAGGCTGAGAATGGCAGCATGAGCCCAAACACAGACACTGCTGGAAGCCTGGGCCGTGCCTGGGGCTGGGAATGGGGGAGGGGCTTTCTTGTCCACTTTTGGGAAACAAGTACAGCCGGTTCCCTCTCCCCAAACACACAAAGGAATGGACTCTGTTCTATTGCCACGTCAAAGGACCCTAGTACTGACTGGGGCTCCTGTCCCAGGTACAGGCCCCTGGACTGAAAGGGGGGAATCTACCCCTGGTGGTGCTACGGGAAGTCAGTTCCCCAAAACTGAGATGGCCGGGCTCTAGGAGTGCCAAGAAAACCTTCCCCCAAGTGACCACTATTCCTGGTCCATGCAAACCCCAGACACACTCCACTGCAGTGCTGCCTTGTCGGTCCCCCACTCCCAAGTACACCTCCCAAATCTCCCAGCACCCCTGTGTTCCCAAGCCCATGAATCTACAAAACTGTTGTTTCTTAAAAAGGAAGTGTGGGGCGCCTGGGTGGCTCAGTATTAAGTGTCTGCCTTCAGCTCAGGTCATGATCCCAGGGTCCTGGAATTGAGTCTCACATCAGGCTCCCTGCTCAGCGGGGAGTCTGCTCCTTCTTCTGCCCCTCTCCCCTCTTGTGCTCATGCACTCTCTCTCAAAAATAAATAAAATCTTTTTTTTTAAATGTTTATTTTGTCCAATATAAGTATTGCTACCCTGCTTTCCTTTCACTTCCACTTGCATGATAAATCCTTTTCCATCCCTTCACTTTCAATCTGCAGGTGTCTTTAGGTCTGAAATGAATCTCTTGTAGGCAGCATATAGGGGGTCTTGCCTTTTTATCCATTCTATCACACTATATCTTTTGATTGGAGTGTTTGGTCCATTTGCATTCAAAGTAATTATTGACAGGTATGTAGCTATTGCCATATTATTACTTGTTTTATGGTTGTTTTGTTTTATGGCTGTTCTCTCTTCCTTTCTTCTCTTGTTCTCTTCTCTCTTGGTTTGCTGGCTTTCCTTAGTGATATACTTGGATTCCTTTCTCATTATTTTTTTATGTTTCCGTTTCGGGTTTTTGAATTGTGGTTACCATTAGGTTTGTATAGAACCTCTTCTATATGTAGCCGTCTATATTAAACTGACGGTCACTTAAGTTTGAACCAATTCTTTACCCGCACCCCCCCAAGTTTTAGGTATATGGTGTCATAGTTTACATCCTTTTGTTTTGTGAATCCTTTGACAGACTTTTATAGATATACTTGATTTTACTGCTTTTGTGCTTCCTAATTTTCTTACTTTTACTTATAATCTTTTCTTTTCACTCAGAGTTCCCTTTAACATCTCTTGTTGGGCTGGTTTAGTGGTGATGAATTCCTTGAACTTACTTTGTCTGGGAAACTATCTATCCTGTTCTGAACGCTGGTTGAGTATTCTTGGCTGCAGGTTTTTTCCTTTCAGCATATCGAATATATCATGCCACTCTCTTCTGGCATGCCAAGTTTCTGCTGAAAAATCCGCTGATAGCCTTATGGGGTTTCCCTTTTACGTAACTGTTTTCTTTTCCCTTGCTTCTTTTAAAATTCTCTCTTTATCACTACTTTTTGCTATTTTAATTACTATGTGTCTTGTTGTGGACCTCCTTGGTTTGATTTTTTTGTAGACTCTCTGTGCCTCCTGCATCTGGATTTCTGTTTCCTTTCCCAGATTCAGGAAGTTTTCAGCTAGTATTTCTTCAAATAAATTTTCTGCCCCCTTTTCTCTTTCTTCTCCTTCTGGAACTTCTATGATGTGAATGTTATCACACTGGACGGTGTCACTGAGTTCCCTTAACCTGTTCTCAGTTTTTATTATTCCTTTTTCTTTTTGCTGTTCAGCTTGGTGACTGTTCTTTTGTCTTCCAAGTTGCTGATCTGTTCTTCTGCTGCCTCTAGTCTACTCTTTATTCCCTCTAGTGTATTCTTTTAAAAGATTTTATTTATTTATTTGACAGAGAGAGAGAGCACAAGTAAGCAGAGTGGCAGGCAGAGGGAGAGGGAGAAGCAGACTCCCTGCTGAACAGGAAGCCCGATGTGGGGCTCGATCCCAGGACTCTGGGAACATGACCTGAGCGGAAGGCAGCTGCTTAACCGACTGAGCCACCCAGGCACCCCAGCCCTCTAGTGTATTTTTAATTTCAGTTATTGAGTTCTTCATCTCCAATACTTCTTTTATAAGTTTTCTATCTCTTTTTTTGAGGGTCTCACTGAGATTCTCCACTCTCTTCTCAAGTCCAGTATCTTCATGACCATTACTTTAAATTCTCTATCAGGCATATTACTTACCTCTGTTTCATTTAGGTTTCTTGCTGTGGTTTTGTCCTGTTCTTTCTTTCTTTCTTTTTTTTTAAAGATTTTATTTATTTGAGAGAGAGAGAGAGAGAATGAGAGAGAGAACACGAGAGGGGGGAGGGTCAGAGGGAGAAGCAGACTCCCTGGTGAGCAGGGAGCCTGATGTGGGGCTCGATCCTGGGACTCCAGGATCATGACCTGAGCCGAAGGCAGTCGCCCAACCAACTGAGGCACCCAGGCGCCCCGTGTCCTGTTCTTTCATTTGGGACATATTCCTCTGTCTCCTCACTTTATCTAACTCTCTGTGTCTGTTCCTGTTTCAGGAAATTCAGCTACATCTCCTGCTCTTGAAAGTGGTGGCCCTTATGAAGAAGAGGTCCTATAGTGCCCTGCAGTGCAGTGTCTCCTGTTCATCAGAAACTGGTGCTTCAGGGAGGGTCTTCTATGTGTGTTGCGTGCACCCTGCTATTGTGGCTGAGCCACTTTTTCCTTCAGTCGATTCATCTGCAATGGTTCTCTTTGCCTGTTGTGGACACGGTTTGGTCCCTGTGTTGTTAGTGGGCCAGTCTGGGGCTGCCTTGTGCTTCAGTTGAGTCAGACCAGGCATTTGTCAGAGCTGTGGCAGCACTGAACTGCAGGGCATTTTCTCTTTGTCCCCTGAGAAGCTTTCATTGGTGGGCAGAGGCTGCAGTCAGATTAAGAGAATTTTGTAGGTACTAACTCCATAAAGTCAACCCAAACTCCATAGAAGCAGCTGATCATACCTGATTAGTGATTGACACTCTCAGCATGGCAAGGTCTTGGGTACATAACTGCTTTTTCCAATTTTATCTTGGCGAAAAAAGAGGATAAACTATTGAACCTAAGCAAATATCTATAGTGCCATGAAAAGTAAAGACACTCAGTAAGAGTCCATGAATATCAGGCCCAGAGAGGTGAGTCAGTGAGAATCAGGTGTGATTTCAATGGAATATTGGGGCTGGCTCAGTCGGAAGAGCATGTGACTGTTAATCTTGTGGTTGTGAGTTCAAGCCCCAAATTAGGTGTAGAGATAGAGAGGACTTAAATAAACTTTAAAACAAACAAACAAATAA